TCAGACAGACGAAGACAGCAGACACACACACACAGCACACACGACACACAGACACACCACAGACAGCTACACACACACCACACAACACAGCACACTCACACACACACACACGACAGACATACAGACAGGACAGACAGACAGACACACGTAGACACACAGACACACCACACTCACACTTACACACACACACACAACAACAGGCATCATGACGACGAATCACAGTGTGAGACTCGTCGTCCCCCTATTTTTTATATCTCTTAAGTGAGGACTCTACCTCGGGCAGTTGTGTCTTCATTAGAGGTCTTGCTTGGAGGCACAAGCAGCGACGGGGGTCCGTAGACAGACAGACAGACAGACAGACAGACAGACAGACAGACAGACAGACAGACAGACAGACAGACAGACAGACACAAAGACAGACACAAAGACACACAGACACACAGACACACACACACACACACACACACAGAGTAACACCAGCCTCTCCGCTGTGTTTTTAAACGCTGTGATGTGAAATGAAATCCTCTTTCAAAGCCGTGAGAGTGATCTGATCCTCTCTCCGGTCCCGTTAGGATCTCTTCATTCACTCTCAGCCTCAGAGATGTAGTAATAATAATGGGAGGGGGGTAATAATCTGAGACTCGAACCATTTGAAGTCCTCCAGCTGCTGGGCTTCGTTCTTTAACCTGGCACAGAAAGCATCAGATCAGAGTACATCAGGTGTTCAGACTGAAGTTTAAAGCCACTGCCTGAGGAACCACAGGAGGTAAGCACATGTGCAGAGGATAAGAATCAAACATGCTTTCTTCATGCTGTTCACGTGGTGTGATCAGAAGACACACTAATGGGAATGCTAAATCTCAGGAATGCTTGGAGATGAATTCTCCAACTTTTCAGATTTCTCTCAAATCTTAGGTTAGCTATCTGTTGCTTTGATGCGAGAGCCTGAAGCTGACGATGTTAATCGCCAAATCCACGCTGTAGCTTTTAGGCATCAGACAATAAAGCCTTTGCATTTATTGAATCTTGAACTAGAGCATGATTTTAGTTTCCACCAGTTAATGCACATTTTCATTTTTGTGCATAAAACAACGAGCAGAAAATCCCCAAATGTGCAAAAAATAAATGAACCAAAGTAGAATGATATGCTTGGCTGAGGTTTATAAATAAATAAATATAAATGATGACGTTCACGAAGCATTGAAAGTCTGCCTTGTTGATGCAACCAGATCTACTATTACCTTTGTCACATTCATTTATTAAATGAACACAAATGTCATATTTCCATTCAGCTTTCTAAAAATGTTTACCCGTATAAGTTCTGCTTTTTCAATAACATCATCCTCTCATCATCTGGCCATAACTCAATATGTACTGCTCCCATTATGTCCACTCTGTAGGATGAAGGGATGATGTTTCTGAGGGGCTTGGTGCAGAGGCTGTACTTGTTGTGCAGGAGCTGCTGAATGAGTTCTCACTATGTGGCTGGAAGCACATGATTATATAAAACAGCTTCTGCATTTATATGAAAGTCTGACATTTGAATGAGCAGGAGCTTCTGAAACGGACCCCGAAGAAGCACAGCGACTTCCCTCCGGTGCAGGAGTCTCTGCAGGTGATGAAGGCCGTGTGCTCCAACATCAACGAGGCCAAGAGGCAGATGGAGAAGATGGAGATCCTGGAGGAGTGGCAGTCGCACATCGAGGGCTGGGAGGTGAGTGTGGAGGAGCATTCATGAAATGAAATGAACTCAAATGTCATATTTTCACCCAGTTTTCTACATATGCTGTACAAGGTCTGCTTTTTGAATAACATCATCCTTTTTTCAATATTTAAGACTTAACAACAACAACAACAACAACAACAACAACTACAACTACAACTCCATGTCCACTCCAAATGATAAAGAGATGACTTTTGACAGACATGCTTTTGCAGAGGCTGTACTTGTTGTTTTTGTGTGTTTGCTGTGGAGGAACTTCTTAAGAGAAACTGATGAATGATTCAGGGACAAAGTTTAACAAAGAAAGTCCACTTACAAGTGAAATCGATCTCAAAAGCAGGAACAGAGCAGCTTCACCCTCAGGGTTAGCACTCTGTGTTCACATTGTTTTGAGGACACATAAGATTCAATGATCAGTAGAATACAGTATTACATTCAAAATGACCCAACACCCCTATAATGGTGTTTCTGCACCGATTAGTCATGACATCAGAGTTTATTCAATTAAAGGGGAGCTATCATGCAAAATGCACTTTCTGATGTCTTTTCTACATCAATATGTGTCCCCGCTGTGTCCCCGCTGTGTCCCCGCTGTGTCCCCGGTGCGTCCCCGGTGCGTCCCCGGTGTGTCAGGGAACTCACGCAGCGTCAGAAAATAAAACCCTCTCTCAACGGAGCTGATCCAGATTTGCGTCCGATATGACGTCATATCTCAAATGTGGACCCACAGCCTATCAGAAAGTTGCTATCAGAAACAATGCCCGACTGTTTTGGACGTAATATGGTCGGTGTTTACATTAGCATCGCTAACACTCAGAGCTAACCTGTACTGGAGAGCATGTGTGTGAAGAAGCAGGAAGTAAAGAGGAACTCACCTTGTGGTATAACCGGCAAGAGAGAAAGCCTTTGAGCTCCATACTGTTTCAGAGATAATCCTTGATAATCCATGATATGGCGTTTCATCACGGCAGCATTTTTATCTCTGAAACAGTATGGAGCTCAAAGGCTTTCTCTCTTGCCGGTTATACCACAANTCGCGAGACCCCGAGTGGGCGTCGTCGAGACGTATTACAAATAAAAATGGATAAAAATATATATAAAATTGATTAACTTTTTGTATCATTTCTTTTTTTAATTATCATTAATAATAACGTTTGCATAGACATTTCCAGGGGCGGACTAGCCATCTGTATAATTTCCCCGCAACGAGGCTCCCCCTTTGACAATCCACTAGCGCAGTGTTTGTGCGGAAAACTGAAATTAATTCACTAGCACCCCCCCCCTTGTAGCAGCAGAGCTGAGTATTTGGGTTTCCTCCTCTGAAGGTACGAAGCAGGCTTTCCAACAGTATGAGATGTATCGCCAAGAAGCAAAGAAACACTCATGTCCTTACTTATTGACCTCAAGGTCTCCTATCACGCAAAATGCACGTTTTGATGTCTTTAGAGCTGAGTATGTGGGTTGCGCCCCATGTGACTAATCTTTTCTGAAATGCCAAAGTTCAGTTTACATATCTCACGTTTATACAGATCGTGTGAATAGTCCTTCTCTTCCTCTCAGGACTCTGTGGAAACACCTCACTGCGTTAAATGCACGCCGGTTACTATCGTCCATAGAATGACATCCCGTGCAGTCACTGTTGCATTGTGGGAGCTATGTCTCTATGATGGGAATTTTTAATAATTCAATATATATATATAGGTTTCCTCACTACAACATGCTCTCAGACAGAAGAGTGTCGCCTTGACCTGGTCAGACCATCATCATATGGATGCTATACTTTCTTAAGACTTGAATGTACATCCCCTAGCTCAGGGGTCGGCAACCCGCGGCCCATGGGCCGCATGCGGCCCTTTAAGCCCTCTGCTCTGGCTCCCTTGAGTTTAGACAAAAATAAGAAGGAAATAAAATAAAAGTATTTGTAGGACTATTTATATTTTGTTGCATGGTTGAAAATGTTTCGTATCTTGTATTTTGAGGTGATACTGGGACACATAAATAAAAAACTAAACGGTTTTAATTAGGTCAACTAAAATATGCGTCACATCCTGCTATGGTCCCGCGCGAGCGCCTTTTCTTGGAGGCGCTCGCGCGGGGACCCCCGGCTCGATGAGCGAACTATGGATAAATCAAAGAAAAGTACCGGAGGAACACAGGATTTAATTCTGTGTGGACAGAGTTATATGCTTTCACAGCAAACGATGCTGGTTTACCGGTATGTTTGATATGTAGAGAGAAGTTGTCAAAGGTGCTGCAGCCTTTACGTGTCGAGGAACAACACGGGAGAGGAAGACAGCTGACGATCTTCAGTCATAATTCAATGGGGTATGTAATTTATTTCAGAAAACACTTTTTGTTATATTCCATGGAATGCTCTTAACNTACTGGAGAGCATGTGTGTGAAGAAGCAGGAAGTAAAGAGGAACTCACCTTGTGGTATAACCGGCAAGAGAGAAAGCCTTTGAGCTCCATACTGTTTCAGAGATAATCCTTGATAATCCATGATATGGCGTTTCATCACGGCAGCATTTAGTTTAGACAGTAGCTGCTGGGTCCTGCATGAGCTCAGACCCCTCCTCTTTAAAGCTTTATACCCCAAATCAGCACTTTAGAAAGAGGAAGTGAAATAGAGGGATATGAGGCATGGCTAGAATGATCTGTTTGGTGTTTGGAGCAAAACACTTCATAGACATGTTTTTATATATTTGTACATATCTGAGACCTATTGCCTAAAAATAGCGTGATAGGTGACCTTTAACACTTACATGTTTAAATACATTCAACGTGAAACAAAATGGTAATAATAACAAAAAACAATAAAAAACAGGCGCAGAATAAGAAATGCATTAAAGTAATAAATAAATAAATAAAACATGTGGTCGGGGGTCCAAACTACTCTGTGTTTAAATTAAATCTCACACAGGACGTTACATGTCTGAGTAACTTTCAAAAAGCTCAGTCATGACGCGTTGAGGCCACTTATCGTCCTGCGTGACTTCTGTCCAAAGCTTCTGGTTCTCTGGGAACAATGACCGGAATTCACTTCAGTATGTTCTGCATGGATGAGCGGGTAGTGAAAGCTTCAGGGGGGGGTCTTTAGGTTAGATAACTGATGATAAGGAAGCCTTAATAAGTAGACCTGATGGGGGATGGAAGAGAAGTAGTAATTAGAATGGATGATTATTGACCTCTGATGCTAAGAGGAGCTAAACACTTCATGCATCTTGTCTCTAAGTGTCCAAGAAGTAATTTAATAACTTTAATATGAAATGCTCAGCACAATTTGAAGAAGGCTTTCAGATAAAGGTGTGTGTGTGTGTGTGTGTGTGTGTGTGTGTGTGTGTGTGTGTGTGTGTGTGTGTGTGTGTGTGTGTGTGTGTCTGTGTGTGTATATATATATGCCTATGTTACATACATTTAACCTCTTCTATTGCTTTTTTAAAATGTTCCTGGCACTTTGAGCTCACCGTGGAGTTCTCAGTCTGCTGGCTGATGCCTTCAGGGCCGATGACCAGCTCTATCGTTAGACTCCAGCCATGCTGTAGAAACAGGACCCACTCAACCATTCAGAAAAGCCCAATTTATCTTAGAAATGTGACAGTCAATGATGTAAAATGCTCACCACCAGCTGGCAGGCGAAGCTCTCCTGTGTGTAGCTGTAGCACTGAGCCAGAGTGGTGAAGAAGCGAGTCATGCACTGGTCCTGCTTCAGGGTGGAGTAACCCTGAAACGTCTGCTGGACCAGGCGACGCAGCTGCTTAGGCTGATGCAGAAAAACAGAACATCATTAGAAATAACATGATATAATTTCATTGTACAATTAAAACGTATTTAAAGTCAGTACCTTCATGCTGTTGATCAGCTCTCTGGGGAAGAACAGGTGCAGACCAACCTCCTTCCTAAAGGAGAAGTCAGACCACCATCAGAAATCAAACGCTACTCAAAGGCTTTTTTCTAAGTGTGACCAATACAACATTCAGATAAGGTCATCGGAAAACAAGATTATTATAACGTTTTGTGGAGCAATGCTTCTGTACGGTGGTGTGTAGAGTTACGTAAACGTTGCATGACTTCCGATATGATTGTTCAGACTGAAGTTGCATTACAGAAAAATCTTGTCTGTGTCTGATTTAGGAAGGTGGGAAAAATATTTGAGATGTAAAGATCAGATTTCCTGGCATGTGTGCTGTTACAGACTGGAGCCACTTTTGCAACATCTGACATTCAAACCAAGCATTTCTCATTAATGCAAGTCCTAGGACAAGAGAAAAGACGACCATGTGATACATTCAACAACCTCACAGGACTTACTCTAATTGTTCAAAGTTGGACTTTTTCTCCAGTCCGTTCGGATTAATGTCTTTGAAGAATCTCCTGCAAACAATACATGATTTGTGATTTAAAAAATGATATGAAACTAAGTCCAACTGTTGTGCAAATATGTTGGATCTGGGTCACAGGTTTATTTTCTTTTAGATAATAAGGTGTACAGTACCTTATTTCCAGACAGCCGAGCTGTAGAGCCATCCCATCGCTGACTTTTGAGGCGTACTGCTGCATGTAGTCATTTCTCACCTGTGGATAAAGCACACACACCTTCTATTGACTACAACCATCATAGACATTGACCCGAACCTAACTAATCTAGTGCTCAGCCTGAAGAAAGAGACTTATACTGACCTGCTGGTAAAAGTAGAGCATCGTGGTTCTGTCATCTTTGAATTTCTCCATGAAGTCAGACGGGATGTATCTGATCCTCAGATCATATCTGCACGAACAAACGTCACAGTCACTTCACTGTACTTATGTGTACTTGTACTTCACTCTCTGCAGTACTGACCTCCACTCAGCCTCGAGGTGCTGCTGCTCGTAGCGCAGCGTGAGTTCAGACATGGTGAGGTCCGTGTGCAGCCAGTGTTTCTCGGAGGACTTCAGGTGTTTGAGGAGGAGGCAGAAACAGGAGCAGAAGGATATATCCGGACCCACGCAGCCGCTGGACAGCACCACATTCACTACATCCTGGAAAACAAGTCAGCAAACAATCATTTCTCACAAAACATGCCACAACTCACTAGAAATTGCATCAACCTATAAATAAACAATTATCTACACACAATGATTGTGCACGTCTTATCTTTGTCGACCTGCAGACTGTATCTCTAAATGTGACTTCCTTCTCACAGATGAGTGCATAAATTCGCAGAAAAACTGTCTGGTGATGTTATTCCGATAACAGAAGGGTACACTTGTTTCTGTTTAACACATTACTTGTATTTTTACAATAAATATCTATTGCTTGCTTTGAATATTCTATAAAGTGCATTCGAGCAAAATAGAGTAAAAGTAGAGTAGATTAAGGTAGAGTCAAGTACAGTTAGAGCAGAGTGCAGTGAAGTAAAGAACAGTTAATACAAGTACATTACAGTAAAACTGAGTGCAGTGAAGTAAAGAACAGTAAAGCACACTAAAGTGCAGTAAAGTCCAGTATAGTGTACCTTGACGGTCCATCCCTCCTCACATCGGACCAGTTTGAAGCTTTTGCCCAGGTTTGAGCTGTTGCTAAGGAAACACACTTTGATGATCTTCACCCTGAAGATATTGTCCTTGGTGAAAATGGTCGATGGAGACATATCCGAGGATTCTGATTGGCTGGTGGGAGACATGCTCCTCCAGGACAGCGTGCTGGTGTCTCCAGACATCTCACACACACACAGACACACACATATGCTACTGCAGACACATCGCTGTCAAGTAGACACACACCATTTCACCCTCTTCCTTGTCTGTCATACACTCAACACACTCTTGAAGGGATCCATTGAAGCTAAAAGAAAACAACAATCGTTTCACAAACAACTTTTTGGTTTTAAAGAACATTCGTATCCGGGATAATGATTCAATTTCCCTCTGTACTCACCGGTATTGCACAAACTTCACGACCCAGCACCCAGAAATGTAATGTCAGTCTCTAAAAGTGAACACAAGCCAGTGCAGGTAACACACACACAAACACACACACACACACACGTTATTTTGTAAAGTGCATATTTCGTTTTCTTTCTCAGGTTAAGGGACGATTCCTCCGAAGCTGCGTCCTAAAGAAGAGCTGCATCTGTACGCGAAAGAGGAAACGGTGCTAACTTACAAATAAGGAAGTTGAAGAGCAGCACACAGAAAAACTGATAGGTCTGATGAAACCGCCTCACCCCTCCTCACCCCTCCTCACCCCGCTTCACATGCAATGGCACAGTCCAGCATCAAAACCACAATTGTGCAACAGAACTTCCTCTTCCAAAAGTTATGATGCAGGTGAAAAGTGGGTATCAAGACACTATTATTACAACATAAGAACAACATGAGCTAATAATGTACAGGTTTTTAACCATGGACAATTTGTTGCGGAAATTCATGATCATCAGAGGGTGAATCATACTGACTTTTGCAATATCATTTCTGCTACTATGACGTTTTTGGTTTTGAGTTTCCACAACTATTAGATAGATGGAGAATTTGGTACAGATATTAAACTCCCCATCAGGATTAATTGTAATAATGTCATAAGGGACAGGCGTCAAAACGGTGTGTTTCAGACTGAGTGTTGATCCAGGTATATTCAGACGGACAGTAAGAGAAAAATAAAGTGTCTTTTGAACATTAAAACGTGTAAATATGTTCAAATCAATCACAAAATAATGAATATTAACCTAAAAATGAGCATGATATGTCTCCTTTAAGCATTCTGCCCAAAACACTGCTATTCATGAGTACATATAAGTGGTAGGTTTAAGCTAGATTAAATATAATTAAAAAGAATAATAATAAGGAAGTATTTATTCAAAGCTGCAGCCTGGCAGTAGCAGAACCTGTTGAAAGCGAGATGTACCCTGTGGTGAGTGACCATGAGGCAGTGGAAGGGAAATTCTTTATTTTCTTTCAGATTCGACCTCAGTGGTTTTGTTTTTCACATTTTGACTGTAAGCAAACTGGGTCACGAATGTAGAAATAATATGTGTGACAGCAGTAACCACTGTCAGGAAAGTGTGGCCTCCTCACAAAACACAGGTTTGTTTCTAGACTCGAGAATTATGCATATGATTCTTCACACATCAAAGAGACACTTTTCGTATAAACTTACATCCTGTTATGCACAATGTAGACACAATCTATTCCTCTGAAAACAGCACACTTTGAATTTAGCACGACTATCACATGTACGGTGACTGAACATGTGGTGCAGAAAGCCCACGCACCATCATTACTGACAAATTTAGAATAATAATTAATAAGGACCTTTGTCCTTTGTTACTATACTACATTATGTCTTCATGTTTTTCTTGATGGGAGTTAATTACCCGGCCGTGCCACTATATTACACAATATTGTAGGCAGGGCCGGCCCTAGACTTTTGGGGGCCCTAAGCGAGCTTTGGCTTGGGGGCCCCCCTCCCTCTAGCGCGTTCTCACTACACACAACACGGAACCAACTTTTGTTTTATGATGTTAGCATGAGCACACATATTGTATAAATAAGCATGTAAACACCGTGGACCTAACATCCTCTAGGGGGGATCCTCATCTCCGCTAGGGGGGTCCGGGGGCATTCTCCCCCGGGAAGATTTTTTTTTAAATAATNTTGGGGGCCCTAAGCAAGCTTTGGCTTGGGGGCCCCCCTCCCTCTAGCGCGTTCTCACTACACACAACACGGAACCAACTTTTGTTTTATGATGTTAGCATGAGCACACATATTGTATAAATAAGCATGTAAACACCGTGGACCTAACATCCTCTAGGGGG